AAAATTTACTGTATATAAAGTGAATTGAAGTCCAAGTCAGAAAAATATATTTAGTTCTTTACTCCAATGCACCCAGTGAGCTTCTTGCTTCCTTCTTTGTGATCGTTCTGCTTTTCTCTGGTTATTTCATCTTAGAGTTTATGTAATATTTTGTTGAAAATGTTCTTGCTGATAAAAAAGTATGTTCATATGCTAAGCTTATCTTTTGCTGACAATTTTACAGGTTCTATTCCTTTCTCAATTAGATAAGCAGCAGTGCTCACTGAACTATCTGCATGTTTTCTCCAACTTTTCTCTAGCCCATGACTATAACAGAGGTATTACAATGGTGGAAAGTTTGAATATAAAGCTCAAAAAGCACCATCTGAATTCTTCTACACTTTCACCTAATTTGAAAAGAGCTGCCATAATGACACTGTGAGATATTTTTGGATCTGCAAAACCTGCCGCTAAAGTTTGTGATATTTAAATACCGAAGAAGCATACATCGTTCAGTAGAAATATCAGCAATCTGGTAGAATCTTTTCAAATTGACACATTTATTAAAACCCATAAGTGTTTGTGAGCTGCTGCTTGCTTCATTACGTAGATAACATGGTAGAAGTGAGCTGCAGTGCACAAAAGCTTCTGCTTTTTGGCTAACGTAGTCTAATGTGGCTCTTCTGCTAGTATAGTTTTATTTCTTGTTTTTGTACTTTACGATTTTGGTTTTTTAATTGGCTGGCCGAATTAAGAATGACTGGAAAATAATGGGAGTTGAAGTCCACACATCTTAAAATTGTCAAGGTTGGGAGACACTGTGCTAGACAGATATTGTAGAGAGGAAAATCAAGGAGAGAGGACGCAAAGAGAAGAAGAGAACAAAAAGAGGAAAGAAATAAATGGGAGGAGATAAATCCAGATACAGGGAGAATAAAGACAGAGAAAATGATATACATACTGTACATACATACACTGACAAGGCATTAGCAGGAAGCTGTTTTGTGAAAGGCACAAGGCAGCTCCCTCCCCCTATGTTATATAGAGCCATTACCGTATTTTCCGGCATATAAGACGACTGGGCGTATAAGACGACCCCCTACTTTTCCTGTTAAAATATAGGGTTTGGGCTATACTCGCCGTATAAGACTACCCCTCTTCCAACGCACACCAAATAAAAATTAAAAAACATCAGATTTGATTTCAATATGGTAATTTTAATTCAAATGCTTATGACATGCAGGTACTTAGCAGGAAAACTGTCACTTATAAACATAAGGCTGTTTGTCATCAAACATGTAAACATAAAACAGTGCAATTGGATTAAATTTTTCCTAATTCACTCTAAAGCTGAAAGGAAGGATAAGACAATAAACCCATGGGAGCTGCCATGCTGTTTGTTTTCTAAGCTGTCAACCAAACTGGAACTGATGATGATAGGAGGAAGATAACAAACAATAGAGAGCCAGTGCCGGGCAAGTCCCTGGCGAGTCAGCAATGCCCATCATAACTGCAAGCTATTTTTACAGGTTTTGCTGGCGGGACAGTTTCCCTTTAAAAGCCTTCAAAATCCTCCTGTTCGTCATCTGATATCGTAAGTACATCAATGACATCTTGTGATACATTTGTAAGGCAGTCATCATATGGATCTAATTCCGTATCAGATGGTGTGGTCTCAGCTTCGGCTTCCTCTTCATCTTGCCACAAGTAGTTGTCCTCCATAGCATCTAATGAATTTGATATGCCACACTTCTTGAAAGACTTGATTACTATTTCTGCATCAATATCATTCCAGGCTTTTATGACAAACTTGCACAAAACATCCAACTGTGGAGCACGCATGTTTCCTCCTTTTGTGAATGACTTTTCACCGCTAATCATCCACTCATTCCACTGTTCTCGAATGCGATCTTTAAATGGCTTGTTTAGGCACACATCCAGTGGCTGTACCAATGATGTAAATCCTGCAGGAATAACTGCTGCATCTGTGTTTATTCTTGCAACCCTTTGCTTGGTGCTGGGAGTTAAATGAGCCCTGAACATATCCCACACCAATAGACTACGTTTTTGAATAAGTCCACCTGGTCGCCTGCTCCATACATTATCAAGCCATAGCTTTACCCCTTCTTCATCCATCCAGGCTTTTTCATTCACATGTACAAAACAACCAACAGGGAACTTGAGTTTCGGCATTGTTTTTCTTTTAAAAATAATCATTGGTCTCAGTTTGGAGCCATCAGCTGTGCATGCTAGTACCACTGTAAAACTGGACTTCTCATGTCCTGTTGTTTTAATTAAAATTGTTTTTTCACCTTTTGGATGGACAGTTTTATTTCCAATCATATCAAAATTCATTGGAGTTTCATCCATATTTCCGATACTACTTAACACATAGCCATGTTTATTGTGCTGTTTTATTACATATCGATGGAAACTATTTACTTTGGCATCAAGATCTGCAGATAATTTTTGTGCAATTTTTGTCTTTTGCCTCGGTACCAAATTATGCCTTTCCAAGAATCTAGTACACCAGGATACAGTGGCCTTAAATCTGTTGCTGTGATCTGGGTTAGATTTGGCCCACTGAAGTGCAAACAAACGTATTTTATTTCGTGTCACTACATAACCGTTTTGGCGATGCTCATTCACCATGTCTGCTACATGTTTTTCGAGTTCTGGCCAATGTGGGGTGCCTCTTCTTAATGCACACTTACCCCTTGGCATGCTCTTTAATGCTTTTACATTTGCTTTCCAGTCCCGAACCATCTTTTCTGTTACTCCATATTGTCTTGCAGCAGCACAGTTACTATGTTCCATGGCAAAGTTTACAACTTTAAGTTTAAAACTGGCTTCATATTTCTTTCTTCTTGCTGGTGGAGCCATGATGGGGTCTTGACTGTTAGCTATTTGTATACTGTACTGTATGTACTGTTGCTGTACTATATGTATTGTTGCTGTACTGTAGAGATACCTATGATACACATCTGCCTGTCAAGGTAATGGGCTACTAGATCGGCACAGCTTCCCAAATCTGAATTGCTGGCGCTGACTGATGACGCTATGGGAGCGCCGACAACATTGAGGGGAAGCTGTGCCGATCTAGTCAAGGCTTCATGCTGCTGAATGCTGGAACCAGCTGGTTGCTGAGCGGAGCTTCCCCCAGGCATCCAGGGGGATATTACTGACGCTCTGACTTCCCCAGCTGACTCCCACTGATGGTGAGCCCCACCGGTCTGGGGAAGTCGGAGCGTCGGTAATATCCCCCTGGATGCCTGGGGGAAGCTCCGCGCAGCAACCAGCTGGTTCCAGCATTCAGCAGCATGAAGCCTTGAGATCGGCACAGCTTCCCCTCAATGTTGTTGGCGCTCCCGTAGCGTCATCGGTCAGCGCCAGCAACTCAGATTCGGGTACCCGGCATATAAAATGACCCCCGACTTTTGAGATGATTTTCCTGTGTTAAAAAGTCATCTTATACGCCGGAAAATACGGTACTTCATTCCTTTGCACACATGAAAAAAATGACACTATATAAAGTAGCCATTGATACTGCCTTAGGAAGTTCAGCACTGAACATTGTACTCAATATTTGGGTATATCAACTATACCATCAACTTATGTTCCTAGAATTCACTTTTCTAACATACACACTTGTATTGACACTTCAAAGCTACAAATATACTACATATCATATAGGCAGGGTTGCTAAAAGCACATAGATATTTCTGTGAGAAGCTGAACAAAATAAGGTTGTAAATTAATGTAAAGAACACTATTTTTTTGCCAGTTCATACAACTGATATGCCTCTGGTAAGGAAAGCAAGTTAAAAGTCCATTAATAAGTCTGCTAATGCTGAAAACGGCTCAGTTACTGGAACAAACCTTTTGAAAAATGTACAACATTCCCCTTTTTCAATAGCTTATGTGTTTCTAAGAATTTTCAACTGATAATGTGAAACTTCAGCAATGGAAGAAAATCCAATACCATTTTCATGGTGCAACATGGTTAATTCCTGGTTCAGTAAATTGTGAGGAGTTAGGTAATTGAGTTAATTGTTAATTGATTAATTGTTCTGTCAGGAAATTTCTTAGTTATAGGTTGCTTCTCTCCTTGATTAGTTTCCATCCATTGCTTCTTGTCCTGCTTTCAGGTACTTTGGAGAATAGTTGACCCCCTCTTTGTGGCAGCATCTTAGATATTGGAACACTGCTTTCATGTCCTTTTCAATAAACTAGACATATCCAATTCCAGCAACCATTCTTTATATATTTTATCCTCCAGCCCCTTAATCATCTTTGTTGCTCTTCTCTTCTCTGAACTCTTCCTAGTGTTTCAGCATTTTTTTTCACACCATGATGATCAAAACTGGATGCAGTAAGTGTGGTCTTACCAAGGCATTATAAAGTGATATTAATACTTCATGTGATCTTGATTCTATCTGTTAACGCAGTCTAGAACTGCAATGGCTTTTTTTAGCAGCTGCAGCACACTGCTGGCTCATATTTAAGTGATTGTCATTAGGATTCCAAGATCCCACTTGCAATTACTACTATTGAGCCAGGTATCACATATTCTATACCTGTGTACTTCGTTTTTCTTGTCTAAATGTAGAACCTTTTTTCAGCATTGAATTTTATTTTGTTAAATGGGGTCCAATGTTCAGGTCTGTCAGGATCCTTCTGTATCTTAAGCCTATCTTATATTTACACATTATTAGTTTTGTTTCTGTGGTGTCTGTGCTTAGTATTGTCCTCTTGTGTAGTTTTTAAATTTTCCAAAATTTTGTGGATCATTACATCTTTAACTGAAAAAATAAATAAAAAACCTGACAATGATTTATATTATGTCAACATATATATTTAAGGTAACACATCACCCTGCAAAGTAAACATCACTTTAGATGAGCATTTTTTTAAAATAGCCTGGTGGTCCATTTATGATTGTTGATTTTGTGATCCATTAAATTTTGCTAATTGAGTACACCATAGTTGAATCAAGTATAGATAAACAGGCCACACACACCTTTCTCCAGAAACTTTTATTAGTCTTTTCTTTTTTGGGTTGTAGATGATTGGCAAAATGGAAAAACTGGACACTCTTGACTATGTTCTAAATCTATGCTTCTGATCCAACGCTAGGAGTATCCAAATATTAGCATTAGCTGAGATGGGATGGAGAGGATGAGAGACATGCATAACACATTTCAAGAAACCTGTTAGATTAAGTGAACAATTTATTCAGTTTAGCATTTTGTTTATACAATGGCAGAGTAAGCACAAATATGGATAAAGGATAGGAGCTCTCTGTTTCTGTGATTTCAGACAAACACATACAAACTTTTCATTAATAGTTTACCCCATGAATCTGGCCAATCTCCATTTAGCTGCAGTTAAGGAATAAGATGGCCATATTTTCAGTTCTTACTCCCCCCCTTATCTTAAATTATGGAAGCTAAATCCTAATGAAAATTTAAAAAATCAGAATAAAATAAAGGAAAAATATTAACAAACTAAGCTATTCCTAGTGAATAGAAGAATTTGCAGAGATTTGCTGTTTTACTCTGTTGGAACAAAACTACTACAAAGGCTTTAGCATCTTAAAAAGAAATGAATTAGAGTCTTGTATGGCATACATGCTAGAATTTTGCCAAAAACTAAGTATGGAATACTGGATTCACTCTAGCCTCCATCCATTTGTCTTTGGGTTGAGTGGTGTCATACACTGGAGCTGGAGGTAAGAAAGCAGTTTTCTCTGTAAAATTTGAGTTTTCTAACTTGTATTTTTCCAAGCAAGAAGCAATGCTTCATCTGCAAACTTCCCAGGTGGCAAACTATTTCTCCTAGTAATTTGTAGACCTCCATATCCACAGTATGAACTGTTTTATCCTAATACCCTCTATTCTGATGAACCATCATCTCTCAATTCATTCATAACATATTCCATTTTTCCTTTTTATGTACACTGAGAGCATATGCACCAAAGACAAATTCTTTGTGTGTCCAATCACACTTGGCCAATAAAGAATTTTAATTCTAATTTTAATTTTAATTCATTATGGTTTAACAATGGATATTTGAAAATAGAGGCTTTATGGGAAGGGGAGGCCCTCCATCTTGGAGCTATTTGGTCAACTGGATTAGGCCTATAGCAGGGTCCCCCTTGGTAGACTCATCTTTAGGCTTTAGCAAAATAGTACTGCAGCCTTCATCTGGCCATGGTAATTACTTTTATAGACCATGACAAAACAAGGACAATACAGTCTTGTATATATTGCCTTGGCAGCAAATCAACTGCAAGTGTCTTATGAGCATGTTTGAAATAGTATATTGGAAACATGCAAGAAAAATATAGCAATGGGGATCCAGATGTTAACTACTCCGGACCCCATAAGCCTGAGTGAAGAAAGTCTTTACAAGCGAACCTGAAGAAGCAGACTAAAGGTGTGCACCAGAGAAGATAGGACAGCACTGACAATATTGTTTTGAATATAGATTTCCCAGGAAAATATGAAAGGAGACAAAGGTTTTATTTGCATGGCAGCCTTTTGGAATTTAGTCAGACTTCTTTCCCTGTTCGGAGAGCTTCCCAGAGTGGTTGTCTGTCGCGGCCTTGTGAAACCAAACTATTCGCTCCCCTTGTGGTTTTCCAGCGCCCAAATACAAAGACCCTGGGACTTTAAAGGGAAGAAAGAGGGGGTGAAAATGGTGCCTTCGTAACCAGGCGATTGGTTGGCTGCAGAGGACGGGCGTGGGGAGGGGTTATTTAATCTGATGTCACAAGCCTACAAGTGGGGGAACGAGTTATTTATAGAGGCGGAGAGCAGCTGCGCGGACGCTCGGTGAGTGGCGGGGCGAAGGGCGCTCGGGGGCGGCCTTCGGAGGTTGTGGGGGGGGGAGGGGGTAACTTCGGCGGTCGAAACCGAGCCTTTCCCAGAAAGCCGCGATAGCGGCGCCGTTGATTTAACCGCTTCATACCTTCCGGGTATTGTTTTAGCATCCCACTTGACTGATTTATTCGTCGCCCTTCGCATCCTCCTTGATCGTCCCCGGCCGCAAAGCAGAAGAGAAACAACGAGAGAAAGCGATGGATCCGTGTCACACCGAGGAGACTGGCCCAGAAATCCCCGGCCTTGGTGAGAGGGCGCCGCTGAGCAGCGAAGGGAGGGAGGGAGGAAGGAAGGAATCTGCGGCCTAGCGACGGTTGAGGCCGTTGCTGCGGGTTTTCGTGCGTTGGCGCAGATCGGGGAGGGGGAGGGGCCTCGCTTCACACACTTCGGCCCGATGCGAAGTCTCCTTTCCCCAAGCACGCGGCCGGCGAAAGGGATTCCCTCCTCGCGTCGGTGAATTGTCCCCGCGTGGCTTTTTAAAGAAAGCACCGGGGAGGGAGGGAGGGGGGGGCTTCCCTCCCAATTATCCTGAGCGCCTATTCCTTCCCTTCCCCCGCCCTTTCTTTTGACCACGTCCTGCCTCCGCCATTGTCGTGGGTGTTTCCTCGAGGCGCCCCTCGCGTCTCGACTGGCCGGCTGCAGCGAGGAAGTGGCGGCTAGGGTTGATTCGGCCTTCTGTTCCCTACCGGATTGTAGTAAAAAGAGGGAGGAGGTAAAGGATCTCTGGACGGAGGAAAGATCTGCAATGGTGGTTAGGTTGGAAATCTCCGAAATGGAAGGCAACGGGACACGTGACCGACGGCAATAACAAAACCGAGCGAACGGCTCTCGCTCTGGTCGACCCTCGCCCCACTGCGCAATATAACGCCCTTTGGTCGAGCTCTGTTTTGAGCGGCCTTCTCGTGTATCGTGTCGCCCAAAGAAACGAAAGCTTTGCTCTTCCCACGAACTGCCCTGTTCGTAATTAGGCCCTGTAATGGTAGTAATGATGGCATGGTAAAAAGACGGAATCGTGGGGCTCCCTCGTAAGCAATGCTCTGCTGGACCGGACTCTTGAGCCGTCTAGCCCAGTGGACTGCTCTCACCTGACCAGCCTGCTGTATAAGGAAGCCCGCTAGTCTCCCAGCAGATGGTCTTGAGAGCAACCACACTGCCATTAAAGCTAATTGTTTGTTGTGGAAACCGAGGTTCTTGTGTAAGAAAAGGTACAAATTAATGTCAAGAAGGGGTCCCTTATTTTAAAGCTCTTAATAGAGCAGGGATGGGGAACTATGCACTTCAACTCCCAGAATTCCTGAGCCAGCCATGGAGTTGAAGTCCATAAATCATAAAAGGGCCATAGTTCCCCACCTCAATAGAGCTTGATTCTATTTCTATTACATTAATCAACATTGATCAAATTCCAAATGAGAATTACAATACTCCAACTGCTAATTTTAGTCTACTATTTTAAGTCTAAATTAAGTCTTTAAAAGTACTACGAAGTGCAGTTTTGGGGTAATTTAAGAAGTTTTCTTAATGCATCTTGCGAAAGTTTCCACTGCCTTAAGGATTAAGAATGCTATAGTAGAGGCTAAATGTGTATTATCCTTCAGCTACCTGAAGAAGAGCTGTGCTCTTACAATTTAATTAGTGCAGTGAGCTGTGTTAATCAGTTGTAAGAATCTCTGACAAGTTAGGATTTTAACTTTGGTTCTTTATATAAAACACAGCAGCCTGGTTTGGGCATAACATTAAGCCTTAATGGACAAGTACATATATTGTAAATCAACAATAAACCAAAACTGTTGCTGATGAAAAAATCTGTGAATTTAGACTAAATATGTTTTAATGGAATATTGGATTAGTACAGTTTTTCCTTCTGAGAAATTGTCTTCCTCAACTTGCTCATTAATAGACAAACTGAATATAGAATTAATATGGCTGATAGCATACTTGTGACATTAGTTTCAAAATGCATTTGTCAGATTGGCCCTAATGAAAAAGGTAAAGATGTTGTACTTAACAAATCTTTATTGAAATTAAAGTACATATAAAATGGTAATAATTGGATTTGTTCACTGAAAATATTGTGCATGTTGAAATCTATTATTAGTGTAGTAATTTGTGCTCATTAGATAATACTTAGTGTGTTCTCTGAGCAATATCTTGATTTACTAAGCAGTCAAAAAAGCCTTGATCTTGTGAAAACAAAGGTACTCAAGACAAGATATTTGAAGCTTATTAATGGAAATATTGAGGGTAGAATTGTGTTTGTGTATTCAGTAGCCAGTTGAAAATGGGTTTGACTGATTGGTCAGATAAGGAAATCTATTCAAAAGAGTGTTCTGGGCCTTCATTAGTTGGTGAACTGGTCTTATATTTTAATAAGTATGCTTTTCTTTTTTGTTTTTGTACTATACCCACAAGAGAAGTAGAAACTATTGTCCTTACATTTTCAGTAATATACTTTAATATTGTGTTGTGTGTTTGCAATAAAAAATAAGTTTGTTAATGTATCTCTATGTAAAAGACAACTGTTATGTCTTATAAGATGGTTTCCTCCACTTTGGACCTATAAGTAGCCACTATTGCAAATTGCATCAAATTCCTAAGAACTGCCCTCTAAAGCATCTGCTTACTGTTGGTCATATAGATACATTTATAAACAAGTCTCTATTTAAATGGAGATAGTAGGCAAGATACTCATATGAAAATTTTGAATATAATTAAAATATAGTGCAGATTATAAACCGAAGAATTTGCCAATATAAAAATGAAAAGGATGGAGTGCCTTGAGATATTTGAAGTTTCTTTGGCTACAAAACATAAATGATTTATTATGGTTATTCATGTATCATTCTGCTTCAAAATGAGATGTATTTTAACATGGCATGATAAACAAATCTATTCTAAGAATAGGTATACACTACAAAGTTATGAACTGAACCCCTAGTAATGAGTTTAAAAATGACAGTGTAAATTAAGGAGAAATAATGCTTACTTACTCTAATTGGTATTCTTGTTTTATTGCATCATTTCTGAAATTTTCATTCACATCTAAGACCAAAATGAGTATGTCTTTCAGATTGTCAGAATCCATTCTGCAAACGAAAATTAGATTATATTTCACTTCGAGTTCAATTAATTGTTTTCACTTAATAACTAGGATTGCACTCTCTCAGATGAGTATTTTAATATATTTTTCATGTCTTAGTACTTGCCTCATTTTCATGTTATTGGAACTTTTTCCAAAACCCTTTAACTAAAATGTATTTCTACATATTTCATTCTTTATAAATATTCATGGAATTCGTAGTTTTCAGAAACTTACATTAGAATTAGAAAATATTTCTTGTGTCCATATTACTTTTTGTCTTAAAACTGTCGTAGCCTTGAGTTTTGCATACACTGAATTCTTAAGCTTGATTAAAATTCAACCAGACATTGCTAAGATCTGCTGTTATAAACTACCAAATGCATCTGTTCCTGAATCTTTAAAGATTCATGAGTATATAAGCATTTATGGCATTGTAATATATCATTTATATTCCTTACAAAGTGGCACTGAGAGCTAACCTTGAATATGTAATATTCAAATACATGATTACATTCTTCTCTGAAGGATTTTTTAATTTTTTTTCTCTAGCATTAAAAAAATGTCTTAAGTAGCAAGAAATACATACCTCATTGTCCTCTCATAAAGCCAGATTTCATGTGAAGGTTTTCTAGATATTCCAGTTGAATTCCTTTTCTTCTCTTCCTTTATCCTATAGTGACTTCATGCATTTCTATATTTTAAAAATAGAGAATAGAAAGTATACTAATTAAATGTTTTGCAATTGCTTTCAAGTACATCTAATTCTAATTCTTCCCTACATTTTACATCTTTCTACTTACTTAGAGCCTAATATAAAGCATATATGTCTATTGAGATTTTCAGTCATGGTTGTCCCAAAGGTACTTTTTCAAGAGGCAACTGTGGACTTTCTGGTTTTTCTTTGAAGACGTTTCACTTCTCATCCAAGAAGTTTTTTCAGCTCTGACTGGGGAATGGAAGGATTTATATAAATAAATAATAAATAACTTTATTGTCATTGTATGTGTATACACAGTATACCCATACAACGAAATTCACTTAACACCCAAAGACCAGGTCCAACACATAACAATCCCCAAACACACTCCCACCCATCACAAGAGTCCACTTGGAGGTTTATCTGTATCCTCAGGGTTACCTGAGTAGTGCAAGTGGATATGGGTGTGGAGCCTTCTTGGAACTGTTGAAAAGACTGTGTTTGTGGAGCTGTGCTTTCTGCAGGACGTTTTCTGCCCTGTGTCCCTTCACTGTTGAACACAGGCGCAGGCTGTTGGGGATGAGTCTGTTGTCTGCATCTCAAACTTAAACACAAATGATTCCTGCAGACCACAGGAACACAGTCATTTCAGCAGTTCCAATAAGGTTCCACACCCATTTGCACTAATAATCGGGTGATCCTGAAGAAATGGACAAAACTCCCAAGTGGCTTCAACAATTCTCTAAAAGAATGCAAATGTCCAGCTGTCTGCAAGGAATATAAATCCTTCCATTTCCCACCATCCAGTTAGAATTGAAGAAGCTTCTTGGATAAGAAATGAAATGTCTTCAAAGAAAAACCAGAAAATCCAGTTGTCTCTTGAAAAAGCACCTTTGGGATAAAGTATGTACATTTGAAAATAGGACCTAATTGAATTGTGGATGAATTTGCTTAAGTATAGATTTAGGATTGCAGTCTTAATATTTAATTAATTAGAATTATCAGTGAATAGATTGCAGATACCTATACATTTAATATATCTATTACAGATAATATAAGTGTCAAACTAGGCTAAGTATTGAAATTTCTATTTTAATAGCAATATTTTACCTTCAATGTTTAAATCAACATCAGAATCTCTTAACTGAATCTCCATTGTTGTTTCCTGGCAACAGTGAGTATGTACAGTATATGGAATCTTGACATCAGAACCATCAAAAGACTTGAGTCTACGGTTTAGACTTGTCAGGACTCCCAACTGCTGTAAGCAATAATCGATTTTTTGCCTATATACCTAAAATTAAGATATTCTCTAAAGGTGTATCAGTTGAATTAAGAAATTGTGTTGCCGTAGCAAGATGGTGATGTGGAACTCTATGGAGGTCAGGATACAATCTCAAATCTATAAAGATTATCACCAAATTATAATTTAATGAGATAGAAAAGGGAAACAAAATACTTGACTAGGAAGCAGGTATTTTAAATTACATTTGTATCCTGCCACCACTGTCCAAACAACTTTTTTAAATCGAAAGATGGTTATGACCTATGTATAACACAGATATAGTAGGTGGTGAAATCAAAATGTACTATGCATACCGGTACAATTCAATGATTTTGTTTTGTGTTAATCCATTTTGGGAAGTGACTGCATCTAGATTAAGAGAATATATGATCCTAACTTTGTGCCTCAATGGGATCTCTGCCAGCGTATATATCCTGGTTTGTATATACTTTTTGAAAGATCTAACTTCAAGAGCTTCCAAGAGGAAATCTAAAAGTTTCAAGTTTGCTTAAATCTTTCAGTTGTCATCAGATTGTAGTCTATATTATCTACATATGGCTGTAATCTCAATTTAATACCAATAACATATTTAAAATCATAACTAGTTTTGGCAGAAAGAAACATATCTCAGGAATTCTATGGAGATAGATAATTCCCTCTAGTTCTGTCAGACTCAAAACTTTCAATAGCCAGGCAAGCCAGTCCAGATAAATTGCCACTGTTTCAGTGATGTCTTTTGATTAAAATGAGTTGAGAGCAAACACATAACCTAAAGTAAAATAGATGCAAGTATATATTGTAGTATTAAAGTATACTTTTTAGATTTCTCCCTGTGTCAAGTCAAGTAAATGTTTGGTCTAGTGGTTAAGGCACCAAGCTAGAAAGCAGGAAGCCATGAGCTCAAATCAAGCCTTAGCTATGAAAGCCAGCAGGGTGACTTTGGGTCAGTCAGTCTCTTTCTCAGCCCAACCACCTCACAGGATAGTTATTGTGGGAAAAATAGGAGGAGGAAGATGTGTTTGATATGTTTGCTGCTTTGAGTTATTTATAAAAATAACTCAAAATAAGATGCTTGCTGAACCAATCCTTCCAGATGGATTGGACTTCATGCTGGTATTTAGCAAAACTATTTCTGAAGTAGAGTCAGTTTGACATAGTGGTTAAGGCACCAGACTAGAAATAGGGAGACCATGATTCTAATTTGGCCTTGGGCACAGAGCCAACTGGGTGAGCTTGGACCAGTCATTCCCCCTCAGCTCTTTGAAAGAACCAATGGAAAAACCACTTTTGAAAAATCTTCCCAAGAAAACTGCAGGGACTTGCGAACATACATATAAGTACAATTAAAACCTGTTTCTGCTAAGTTATATGAAACAAAACATGTGCAATGTTAAGGTGCTACATAAAATTACTTAAATTATTATATCTATAGACTCGGGCAATTCATATGTGTCAATGCCTAATCCTGAAATAATTCATGTTGGTTTGAATTTTTAGGAACTGATCTTTAGTCCCATTCTCATTTCAGTCAAAACTTTCTTGATACTCAACTTCAGGTATTTGAATGTTCACCACTTAGCAACTGATTCAGGAATTATTCCAATTCATCATAATATTTTAATTAAGTGGACAACTGTAGTCCCAAATGTGCTTTTTCTTCTTGGATGAGAAGCAAAATGTCTTCAAGGAAAAACAAAGTCCAACTGCCTTTTGAAAAAGTACCTTTGGGATAACCATGACCTATGAATCTCCATAGACATTTAACTGGACAACTGCAGCTGTGTAAAAGGTTGTCATTTATATTTAGCTATACAGCAAATGTAATATACAAGGTAATAGGATTTTCTGGTACATGACTGTCTTCTAAAAATCTGACTCTTGAAAATTACTAAGATTGAACTTAAAATTGGCAATGAGAATTGGCAATTTCCAAGAGGTTAATACTGTAATTGCAATGCAGCTTGTGTGGAAGTTGGGGTGGAAGACAAGATTTTTCTTCATTATTAAAATACATTTTAATAATCCCTATCCTTGCACTTAGAGATGTCGGTGTTAAAAAAATATGGGCACTTTTCAGTATAAAAAGCTTTTGGAAACATTTAAACTTTTCCTTGATTTTTTTTTTTAACTAAGTAAATTTATGACTTGTTAATTAGAAATAATTTTAAAAAGTTCACCCAAAGCGAACTAGCTATTTGGTACTTGCATGTTTTATTTTGGTCGTGGTAAGGTGGGGAAGAATTGTGATGCTCAAATTCTTAACAGAACAATTAGTCTGGCTCTCAAGAAGAAATATTTCTTGGACCTATGTTGCAGGACTTCATTTGCAGGATTAATAAATAAATAGAAACGTTGTTGTTTGGCCTAGAAGATAATCTATTATAAGACGCGAAGCTACTTACGTATATTTCATGCAATTGAGGCTTTTTGAAAGCTGTAATTCAGTGAGTTAAGACTCAGGCAGTGTCGTTTGGCGGGAGGATACATGATTAAGGTCTTTGTCCGCTGAGCGGAATCGAAATGAGTTTCTCTCGCGCCTTCTTCACCCCTTCAAGGATACCGCTTCTACTGGGCCAATCTCTAACGGCGCAGCCAACCCCTCCTCTTATCTGTTTTGGCTACAGATAACTTTTTGCCTTCGTTTCCCGCTTCCTTAGCGTCTCACCCGTCACCGGATCTTAGATGCGGATTTGAGTAAACTTCAAGTCGCCGCCCATTTCTCTTAAGTGTCGTTTTATAGAGCCGCCATTTTTTCCCCGTTTCTATGTACTTTCGCAATTTTTCTCTGGAGGATCAAGTCTACTTAGTCTTCTATATACGCCGTATATGGGCGTATAGGCTACGTTCTGAGCGCAGTGTTAAGAGGTACTTGAAAGTCTAAAATTTGTTGCGCATGCTTAGCGGATCATTTTTTATTTTATTTTTTTAGTTGTGAACGTAGTTGCGAAGTCTCGCGATCGACACTTATTCTGAGAAGTTAGCGATTGGCTCAAATGTGTTAAAATTTGCTTTAAGATAAGGTTATAAAAGAAAAGGCTAAACGCAGCTTTGATAAAAGGCTTTGGATGCGTTTATTAAATTGAGCAGCGGAGAATACAAAATTTGAGTTTCGGTGACAGGATAAAAACGTGGCGGGCTTTGTCCTCAGAGCTGCGCGAGTAGTTTTTCCCCTGTCCGGCAGGTTCCTCGCAGTGGGAACGAGGATGATTGCAGGAACTAGCAAATGCTTCAAATAAGGTGAAAGCGACTCTAGTTTAATTCCGGGGAAGTTTTATTTCGAATTATATTCAGTAGGGCCTTCTTTCTCAAGCAAAGTCGACTTCGGATTTGTGCTGTAGAGGGCGGGGTGGCGCTTAAAGATGGGAGTGGGGGGGGGGAAGGGAAAAGGGAAGAAACAACCTTAAAGACGCATGCGCACTACGGGAGGTAATGTACGCGCGTGCGTTTTGGGCTCCATTTTCAGCCACGCCGCGGCCGACTTAGAAGAAGGTGAGCTTACTTTTAGTTTAGTAATTTGTTGGTTGCAGACTAGTTCGAAGGACTTCCGAATTTGGGATCCATCTCTTCAGCCGGTTGTTCTCTTCAGGTTACTAGCAGCAGTCGAAGCGCGTTTTTTGAGGTGAAAGCGGCACTAGGGCCTGGCCGAGCGGAAACGCATTACTCGTTCGCCGCCATTTCCTAAGAACGCAGCGCGTACCGCTACAGCCGCCCGGCTTTCTGTATTTGGAGAGGTGAAGTGACTCTTCAAACCGTCTCCAGTGTCCTGGACGAGGATATCGGTCGCCATGTGTACGTGGGGTAGGCATTGGAAAAGCGGAGATGGGCAAACGCGAAGTCTGGGGGGCGTTATATGGGCCGGGTTGCGAAATTTCTACCCCACTCAGTGTGGCGACGTTTTTTGTCTGCCCCTAGCAACAGAAGGCGAAACAGAGACCACCCTCACATCTGGCATGATGTTGAACACGGAAGGCGGTGATGGTTATGTCGTAAAAGTGCGGGGATTGCCCTGGTCCTGCTCTGCAGATGAAGTGCAAAGATTTTTCTCTGGTAAGTTTTCCGTCTCTTGTTCTGGCTAAACCGTACAATAAAGCTTTCCTTTTCCCGGAACAGCTTGGTATTTCCGGGGGCGAGTTTTGTGGGGAGTTTTCCTTTTCAGATCCGGTAAAATGTGAAATACTCCTTTTTCGTTGTATAATATTTCATTATGTTGGATGGAGACATTATTTTAGGGAAGTAAGAGAATTGTGGTGGTTCTGAGTATACCTCCCTTGGTGAGAAAGAAATTCCTGTTTCGAGAATATAATCTTTTTGATAGCAATGTACTTTGTGATTAATGGGTTGTGCCTATTACCTTAATTAGAATCATTTCCTCACCGGCTTAAATTGTTAATTAATTTGTTCTTTATGTAGCCTGTAATATATACTGTAAATAGTATCTTTTCCTCTTCCTATTTCAGAATTGTTTGACAATAATTCTTTTTTGCTTAATTTTGTTTCCAGTTTTATGGTTTGGATAATAACCTTAAGCACTGTTGTATACATTTGACTTTTGCTAGAAGTCTCCTTGTGTGTTTAACTCACTCCACTTTTTCTTAGAATGCAAAATATTAAATGGATCTTCAGGGGTCCGTTTTATCTACACAAGAGAAGGAAGACCAAGTGGAGAAGCATTTGTTGAATTAGAAACAGAAGAAGATGTGAAATTGGCATTGAAAAAAGACAGAGAAACAATGGGACACAGATATGTTGAAGGTTTGGATTAAATTGACCTAGTAACTGATCAGTTATTTTGGGTGGAATTTAGATGCATGAGTATTTTTTGTGTATATAAATGTGATCCTGTTCTCCAAATGATTGTCGTGCATTAGCCTTTTTATGCCAGATTCCAGAATTCATTAATTCTAAGTGCCTCTTGCAGTCTTCAAGTCAAACAACGTTGAAATGGATTGGGTTCTGAAGCATACTGGTCCTAACAGCCCTGATACTGCTAATGATGGTTTTGTACGTCTTAGAGGACTTCCATTTGGTTGTAGCAAGGAAGAAATTGTTCAGTTTTTCTCAGGTATGTGGGGTATAAGTCCTAGCTGTAAGTATGGGTAAAGATTAGAATGTAGTGGCTCTGAAATAATGCCAAGTATTAATTTAGTAATAAAGTAAACCATAACCATGCTTATTAAACTCTTAATATTGAATGGTTCTTCCTTTTATGTGTTCAAAAAGACAAAAACTTGAACTATAATTTGAAACATTTACTAAAACTTCAGTTCTTGTTTGATGTTGATAGATTGGAGGGAAAATTATTTTAATTGTTCCACTCCACTTAGACAAGTATTGTAAATGCTTGTTAAAATTGACCTGAGTCTCTAGTTAATTAAACTAAACAGTTGATTTTAAATTGGCTGAAAGAGTGGAAAACATTGTAGTGCCCAACTTTGGATATTGTTAATATATCAATCAGAATATCAAAGAATATCAAAGAAGTTTTAATCAGGTGAAGTGTTTACAATGTGGGAGGAGGGGAGATGGATGGGGAAGTGAGAATAAGATAATATGTAGTGTAAACATTTGTATTAAATTTTTGATTTAATATAATCTCTGCTATGCGCTAAAGATATATTACTTTGCAGAGCTGAATATTTTGAAATATTTTCTTTTTGATATACTTTGTTTACATTTATCTACTCTAAAATAAGAAATAGAACATTTTCTGACATTAAATATCAATACATAAAATTATTTTTCTATGTTTATAAAAAGGACTGGTTTCATGTTTTGCAATGTCTTTATAGTTGTATAAAATTGACTTAAAAGTTCATGCATTTATATAGCAAAAATTAAGAGTAAAACAAATATAAAAATTAGTTTTACATTTAAATGATCTGAATGCACGCAGTAGTCCAAAGAATCTTAAATGTATTTCTGAAATATGAGATCAACTTGCATTAACTTCAGATTTTATTGAAAAATGTCTATTCTAAAGGTCTTGCTACAAACCTTAAAAATGTTTACATTTTAGTTACTTGAAATAATATACAAATCATTGTCATTTTAGAACTGTGAAATATTTTACATAACTATCTTTGAATTATGTATTCTGTAGAATTATTCTTGCTGTGCTTTAATTTTAATTGAAAATTTTAATTTGTTTATATAAAAAATGGACTATTGCTTTTCTTAGCATATCCTGCATTAACTTGAGAGAGTATTGTTATTAAAGCTGCAGAAATGTGGCTTTATATAAGCAGGATAAGTTAAGAATGTTATATTTGCTGCATTTATATTGACATGTTTCTGTTATAGAGTTAATACTACGGTGTACTGATTCTAAATATAAAGTATAACTTCTGGTATATTTTTAAAGCTATAAGAAAATCTTGATTGGGCTCGTGATGTTAATATTACCCCCTACTGGGGTTATTTGTCCTTGGGTTGAAGGGTTGGAAATCGTGCCAAATGGGATAACATTGCCGGTGGACTTCCAGGGGAGGAGTACGGGGGAGGCCTTCGTGCAGTTTGCTTCACAGGAAATAGCTGAAAAGGCTCTAAAGAAACACAAGGAAAGAATAGGGCACAGGTGGGGATGGATGGTTGGTTGGATATGTCGCTCTTCTTATGGTAAACTGTTGTTAAATCCATATTCTCTCTTCTTAAGTGCTCACTTTACAATATATACTTTCATATTCTAACATCTCCTTTGTTTTCATAAATATTACTTTCTTTTAATTCATGTGCAGACTGGCTGATGTGCTTGTTTTGCTCTTCCCTATTTCACATTATCTTGTTAATTCTGATTTAGTTTAAAGTTATTTACAGAAGTTGAGAGATTATGGCTTTACATTTCTTTAATAGCACCAATTATGCCTCTAGTTCTAAATACACATAGCCTTTTATTACCATAAGAAAATGTGATTACTAAACTTGTTCTATACAATGATGTAACATTTTCTTGTGTAATTTTCACATAAAAGAATTAACTTTCAAAAATGTCACAAAGGGTTATTCTAAATTTTGTGACTAATTAAAGCATGCATCTGTTGCCTATGCTAATTTGCTATGCAAACGCATAGGTCTTGTGAGCACATAAAGCTTATTGTAATGTATTGATGGGTTAAAGTTCTGGCGGAGGCTAGCTTTTTAACCCTCCTCTCAATTGCCATATGAGCAAAACATGGGTGCTGTTGAGTGGACATGTTTCCCTCCAGAGCATATTTTGATTATTAGCTGTCATTAACCCTTAAGGTTGGGATAGCTTAATTAGCACATACTTCAAACTGTTTTTTTAAAATTAGCCTTGGATAATTCTTACTAAAATCTGGCCTATAATTGTCAGTTCCAAGGCTGCAGGGTTATCTTTTGTAATTTAGTGTGTGTGTTTATAAAAAAAAACTGAACTATTTTTATGTATGTAAACTTTCTAGGTACATTGAAATCTTCAAGAGTAGCAGAGCAGAAGTGCGCACTCATTATGACCCTCCTCGCAAATTAATGGCCATGCAGCGGCCTGGTCCTTATGACCGGCCAGGTGTGGGAAGAGGCTATAACAGCCTTGGCAGAGGCAGTGGTTTTGAAAGGATGAGACGTGGTGCTTACGGTGGAGG